AAACCTAAGTCAGGACAATCTAAAATAGCTAAAACACACGCAGGTCTTACTAGATTTCCAGAAGCAGARCACACTTACCTCCACTTGCTCCAGTCTTTCTCACTGGTTCCATAAAGGCAAATGGTGAGAGGTAAACTATGTCCACCCTCTTCTTCTATTAGAGCTTAGGAAATTACACACACTGCATCCCCTTATCTAGTTCATACCAACATCAGGACCTTGATGCTCTCCTGACATGGAGAGCCCTTTGCTCTGAAAGGAAGGTGGTAACGTCTCTTCTCTCTGAAGTCCATGGCTGCTTTCTCCATTACAGACATAAAAAAAAAAGAAAGGAAGAAATGAAGAAAGGAAGTCCAGGAAAACATTTTGAACCCTCAATCTAGGGTCATCAACCCAAAAGTTCCCTGTCYCCAGCCCCCTGAACCTCCTTGGGATACATTCACTCTCCTGATGACTCACTCTCCTCAGGCAAGACCCTGACAGATCCTGGAAATTCCTCTTTCCTGGAAATTCCTCTTTCACATTCTAACCTGCAACTAGAGATTTCAGTGAAGCTGTTGGAAAAGAGAAGTTTGCCATTAACCTAAGCAATGGCTTTGGCTTGATTTAAAAGCAACAACAAACTTCTAATCATTTATAACTTCTTTAGGAGAACATTAAAAATGTTCARTGAAGATGGTAAAAGTGGACTATTCTCTAATCTTCTGTGCTCCATCTGTGCAGCCTAACYGGGGAAGCAGTGACCGTATTTCAAGCACGCAGGACTGTGGCCTCCAGGAGCTGAGGCTCTGAGTGTCCATTGCCCAATTCCCAGCCAATTCCCACTGTGATAAATGGTCATGAGATCCAGGCAATGAGTAAAACACTATATTGCATTTTGCCAGTCCTTGTTCCCCAAAACGTGCAAATCTGAGCTCAGGAAAGGAGATCCTTTCCAGAGAGTTAGTTTGTCTATGTGTTTATTAGAAGATCATTGGAGAAGGAAGAAGAGGGGTTGCTCAACTCCAGATTTTTTTTTTTTTTTTTTTTAACAAAGGTAGAGGTTGAGGAAAAGCTAAAAGAACGAAGCGGACAGAAATAACCAAGCCAGGAAGAAAGGATGCAAATTAAACAGCCTCGGAAGGAGTTAGCAAAGCGCGAGCAAGACACAGCCACTAAACCAAAGTTAATTACTTCTGACATGCTCAGATCAGCTGGTCGCGCTCCAGCCCGCGCACACCCTGTGCTGGTCGGCGTGAATGGCAAAGGAAAATAAAGTAACTCTCCCCTCTGGGTCCCTCTGCCAAGTCTGGGCTGCGCGCTCTGCCCGAGATCCCTCTTTCTTTGCGCACACAGGGAGAGGGGGAGAGGAGAGAGAAACACAGTTAACCACCTGTCAGGGCTGAGGACACAATAAGGCAGCCCCCAAAAGAGCTTTTCATGCATGCGTAATATATTTGTTCAGCTATTCACTTAATGAAGCTGATAAATGTGATGCGAAACAATAGTCAAGTTAATCTATTTAGTAAAATGTTTTGAGACTCTCAGGCGATGTTAAGGAGGGTAGTGTGTTCGGGGACATTTTCATTTCAATACGCTCATCTCTCCCCTCTTAGGGGGGTTCAAGCAACCTATGTGAATATAATTTCTTATAAATGTGTCTTTAATGGGTTTAATTCACCCTTGCCAGCTGTTTTTTTTTTTTTTTTGCTATTTTGTAAGAGCAAAACAAACGTGCCAGGCTTGGAAAGCTAGTTAAAATTAGTTTCGGTCACTGGGGCCAAGCTATATTTCCTGCAAACCATCTGCTTGATTGGCACAATAGAAGGATTTTCAGGGAAAAAAAAAAAAAAAAGGGGGGGGGTTGGATCTAGGGAAGCTTTGAACGAACCAACAGTTACTGCTCCTTGTGCTGAATTCTAAAGGTGAAGCCTTAGGTGTCTTAAGAGAGCGTCGCCTCCGTTCAGGCTCCCGACGAGGGCGAGAAGCGGCACCGGGGAGCCGRGAGGCGCCCCCGGACCCCGAGCCCGGCTCGGGGCCCCCGCTGCGCCCCCCGGGGCCCGGCCGGGGCTCCGGGAGGCGTCGGGCACCGTTTGCCCCGTTGCTCCGCGTCGGGCGCCGCGCTCAAAGCGGCGGCTCTCCCAATTTCATGCGGATTAACAGCCCCGGAGCGGGACACACGCAGCCTGCGAGCCCTACCCACCCCCTCCCAGCGTTTGCCTTTTTTTTTTCCCCCCCTTTTTTTTTAAGCCTAAGTGGGGGCGACAAAGAAAGCGAGTGACTTTTAAGAAATAAATTTGAAGATAACGACATTAAAATGAATGGCAGGAGGCACAAAACCCCCTGAGCATAGGTCAAACGGCATTAGTCACAGGTTTTATCTCCAGACATTAGAATTCCCCTCTCTTAAATGATCACTGCCTTTGAAAAGAAATTTCCAAAGGAGATCACTTAAAATAAGATCCTTTCGTCCAATTTCTTGGTTTCTTACGGCCTATCTTCCCTTTCAATAGATGTCTAGTCCCTTTTTCCGTGGTGCTTAAGGGTTTCTTTATGGGTGTGCTAAGATGCGGCCCAAGGAACTGGGTCCACGTGTGCCCCAGCATGCGCTTGACCCACCCTTCCACAAAGTGTCAGGCCCTTATTAAAAAAAAAAAAAAAAAAAAAAAAAAAAGGAGAGAGAAATTAGCAGCAATAGGTCTATAGAAAGGAGAAAGGCAAAACACCCCAATGCATATATGAAGAAAGGAGTAAATCATCAAATCATCTCAAAGGGACATACAATAACAGCAATAAACAAACAAACAAACAAACAAACAAACAAACAAACGAACGAACGAATGAATGAATGAATGAATGAATGAATGAATGAATGAATAAATAAATAAATAAATAAATAAATAAAGTGTTCTCTAGTTCTTGGACCTGCCTGGGGCTGCGTTAAGAAGCTCAGAGCCAGGAGGAACACAGGAGCTGGGCCTTATGTGCATGTGCATATAAGTGTATATACATGGCCGCCTATACATATATATGKGCATATAYGTGCGTGAGAGAGGGGGCCGGGGATGTGGGAGAGGGAGAGAAAGGACCTGTGTGTGTAGGGGGCTGTCAAACTGTTGTTTTTACTAGGAAGTTCTGCTGTGTTGTTTTCTTCTTAAAAGAAAAAAAAAAAGAAAGAAATGGAAAGAAAGAAA